TCTAATATGGGACTCTTCAAACCTCTTTTCTTGACGCACCATATAAGCTTCTAATTGCTCCAAGGAAATATTCATTGAAGTTTTCATCCCCGTCGCCACTGATACGTCGTGTAGGTTGAACGCTATATACGATTCCTAAGCTATTCCGATAACCCGCAGTCTAGAACTACACAGCGACTTGAACTCCAGAGAGAAGACACAAGAATGAGAGAAAGCACTTTATTCCAAGGTTCATTCTTGTACAGAAAATCATGGGTATTTATAGATTTTGGGATCTGTTAAATCAACATCATTTTACAGCCAATCCGATAACAACACATTATGCTACCGACCAATAGTAGCACGCCACGTTGGAATTCTAGAACGTTCCATCACACTCTGATTGGCCAGGACTCTTCGGCTCCTTGTGGGCCTCTGGAGGCTCCGTTGAAGTTCTCCGGAAGCCGACCCAACAGTCTCCCAATTTTCTCCCACGTTCTCCTGCTTATAAGCGTTATATCAGAGGCTGTATCTAACTGTAAGCGGGCATCATACCCATTAATCTTAAGAGAAACATACTTTCTATGGTTATGTGAGCCAGCTTTGTGAAGAGCTACCGTTACTTTAGCTGTTTGTAGCTTGAATCTTTTAGAATACTCTTTCGGTTGACGGCGTTTTCGGGTTTTGCAATGACTTTCTTTGTGCCCTTTTCTGGAACGCATATTACAACGATGATTCTTAAACGGACAAAACCTTTTGGAGTGCCAACCACCACATAACCGGCATGGGGATGATGGCTTGTTGCTTTCATTACGGTAATTCTGAGTGCTGGAACCTCGTGAGACTTTCTTCTCGACTGCATTGACATGAAGGAACCGGTTGCCGTTCTTTACCATCGAGGCATCATGCTTCAGATTCACTAACCTTTGACATTCGGTAGCTACTTCCTGCAGCGTCATGTTGGGGCAGTGTTCTAGCTTGCTTAGGATTCTCGTTCGGATGTCAGCATCCTCAGGTGAATGCAGGCTACAGATAAATACTAGACATTTAAATTGGCCTTCAGTCATGGAAGACAATTTGAACTTCTCACATTCCCGGTTCACAATCCCTGCATGCATCACCCAGTCATCTCCTGGTTCTTTCGTTATTTTCAAGCACTGATAACGGATATTAAATAGAGATGATTGTTCTCCAAAGATTTGAGACAGGGTTCTAACTGTTTCATCAAAACTAAAGTCTCGTGGATTCTTTGGGAGAATGAAGTTGCTATAGCGTTCGTGTTCCATAGTCCCAAGTTTTCTCAGAAGTATTATGGCTTTTGAAGCATCATCCAGTTTGCAACGATCAATATAAAACAAATCTTCATACTTCTTAAACCACGACTCGAAAGTTACACCTGCTACACTATCAAAATTAAATTCATGGATGGCATTAATGACTGAATCAGTATGTGATACTTGAGATTCACTAGAAGCAGGGTTTTTCTCGGACAGGCAGAATTTCTGCATCAGGGTTTCCATGATTCTAATATGGGACTCTTCAAACCTCTTTTCTTGACGCACCATATAAGCTTCTAATTGCTCCAAGGAAATATTCATTGAAGTTTTCATCCCCGTCGCCACTGATAAGTCTTGCGGATTTGAACGCTATATTCGTATCCTAAGCTATTTTGTAACCCCCAAGCTAGAACTATACAGCGACCTGAACACGAGAGAGAAGACTCAAAGTATGCGAGAAGTAGTTTACTCCCAGGTTCATTTTATTACAGAAAATATAGGGTTTTTATAATATTTTAAGTGTCCCTGGGTCACTGGAATATTCTGGAATGCTACTAAACATAGTAGCAGTGTAGCAGCCAACCAATCAGAGCCTCTGTATGTGACGTTTCGTGTCCTTGATATTTCTGGCCAAGACTCCAAGTGAACGCCGATTGGACGAAACGCTTCTTAGTGTTTCTTGATGTTTGCTTGTCTTTTGCAAGCAATTTTCTGGATCACCCCAACACCTCCCCTCTTTCAAAAAATAAAACCCCTTCTTCTGGTCTACTTGCAACTTTATAACTGGTTTCCTGAGGCGTTCGGACTTTCTTGGTATCCGGCGTCTATGAGTATCTGTTGGGGTTCCTGTCATTGGAGTATCTGTAATTATATCCAGCGGAAGCCTCACTTGACTATCTACCCTGTCTAGAGTCCTTTTCTCTCTGTGTATTTGATTAATTTGTCTAATCCACATTCCGAAAGCCCCACGCACTTTGTATAAAACATTCTTCATTTTCTTCTCAATGACTCTCGGTTCCCAACGATTTTTCCCAATGTATGATTTGACGAGCACTTTATCACCGACGTTAAAACTACGAATATTCTGACTATTATTTGATGCATCTGTCATGTTTTCTGGTAAAACGGATTTTCGACAATAAGATTCGTCAGACACTTTTATTGCAGAATGATGAGGACCATTTGGAACAGCTGGATTCAGTATACTGCCCGATTTGTTTTCTGTTTCTTTGTGGACTGGAACTGCAATACATTTACGAGCATTTAATATGAGATGTTCTTCCTGTGAGCTGGACAACCCAGTGTTTGTACAGTGTTTCGGACGCGATGGGATTTGAGCCCACGACAGGGCATGTCTCTGAAACGGACATTTCTGGATCACTGGATGGATCATGAACGACTGCTCCTGGGTCTCCGCATTTTTCCAGTCAAATGAGTGTCCGCATTTGTCTACATGCATTGATATGAGCGAGAACATGTCATGGCGTTTGACTACTAATTGATGTTCATGCAGGCGAAGGTGAAGCGGGCGTCTGCTTTGTCCGATGTAGCGTTTTTCGCAGTTCACACAATTTATTTTGTAGATGATGTTTGGTTTGTCTTCTATTTTTATTTCATTCTTTGGTTTGTATAGGATTGATTGTATGGATTTTGTTAGTATGTGCGCAACACCTATTCCGAAGGTTTTCAGCAGTCTCGTTGTCGTTTCTGATATGCCTTTTATGTATGGTAGGGTGATCCTTTTATTGATTTCTATGATTGACTTTGTTTATGATGATGTGTGAGGCTGGTATTTTTTGATGTTGATTGGGTAGCCGTTCTTTTGAAGGATGGTCTTCAAGTATTTTTCTTCATTTTTTCGTGCTGTAATTGTGTTGCAGTGTGTCCTTGCCCTCTTGAACAAGGTTTGTACGCAGTTAATTTAAGGTTGTTGCTATTGTAGTTGGGGATTCGATCGGTGTGGGTCGGCCTCCTATACAATTGAGTCTCCAGTTTGCCTGTGTCGGTTCTGGTGATTAATTTATCCAAGAATGATAGTTTGTCGTTTGACTCTTGTTCCATTGTGAACTTGATGTCATTGAAGACGTTGTTAGTCAGCCTATAGGTGTTTTCCAGATCCTCTTTTTTGACGATAGCGAATGTGTCGTCCACAAAACGAATCCAAATTTTTAGCTTGATCACTGGTAAGATAGGGGGCTTCTAGTTTCTGCATCACTGCTTCGGCGATAAGTTCTGATATTGGAGGTCCCATCGATGTCCCTTTTGTTTGCCTGTAGATTTTGTTGCTGAATTGAAAGTATGTTGCTAAGCATAAATCGATGAGTTCTAGTAGACTTTGATTTTGAAGCATCGTGAACTTTGCGAGATTTACGTCGTTGATGAGAAGTAGAGATAGAAATTCTTTTGCTAACTGTATTCAAAATGGAACAGTTCTGATTCAGTAAATTCAATCAATTTAACATTTGAACGTCTGTACGGACATAAAGATATTTTAAGAACACTGCAATAAGTCGTTGTAATTTATAGCTGAATAACATAAGCGTTAACAACGGACCATTTAATACGTTTGATCATGTGCATATTTTAATCACTGCTTAATGGCAGAAAAATATGTGTATAATATTGACATTTGAGGCAAACGTTTAGGCAGAAAAAGTATATCAGTAGATGAGTTTGTGAGTTCAGTCCAGAGATAATGCGCCTAGAACATACGCTACCCAACAGAAAATGGCTCCTTTCTACGATGTATACTATCCACTGGTTCAACAGTAGTTTGCAAAAGCTAAAATGATAAGATTAAAATCTAACTAAAAATTTACGAAATTGCTTATGCTTACTTTCAGGCTGTGTACGAAAGTAACTAGTATGCTTGATGTGTTAAAATCAATATTTAAAAGTTGTAAGTTGTTTTACGGCCTTAAAAACAAAACGCACTGTTTATTTACGTTTCTTCGTCTCCGACTTTTTCCTTTTTAATTGATAACTCTGAACATCAAGTGATATTTTAGGTGATAATTTAAAATGACAAACAGAGATTTAATGTTATTATGCCTTAGTCTAATACGAAGAATTTAAGTAAATATGAACTTAATATCATTCATACAATAAAATAGACTCGATTTTTAGGTTAGAGAATTTAGAATTATTAAAAAAACTACTATGGATGCGAATAAATAAATCAAGCAATCACATGTAAACAGCATTACGGGATTTCAATATGTGCATTAAAAGAAATTTCACATCAGTGTCATGCCATCCCAAATTTTAATGTATAGTAGTCACTGGAAGCCTTTTTAAATGAACAGTCACGCCAACTTAATGTATTAAAATATGTGAATGTGAACACTGAATTATTCTTGACATCTAAATTATAACACTATCCATTATTATTATTATTATTATTATTATTATTTTTATTTTTATTATTATTATCATTATTATTATAACTGCTACTACTACTACCACCACCACCATATAACCATATCAAATACTACTATAGAGTATCAAATAAGATAAATACATTCGAAACAACCGGAGAAAATGTCAAAAACGAACTGTTATGTTTCTTTTACAATAATAGTTTGTTTATTAAGAAAGATTATATAAAATCCACTTTTAATCAATACCAAAGATGCCATATTCTAATGACGATTGATCATTTAGCAAAACGACTTAAGACAAAAATAGGTTGCCGGAAAACAAATACAATCAGCAATTAATTAGTTAATTTCAAATAAAACACACCTGGAGCGTTTGAAACAGAATCACACTGACCCGATTGTAGTACGTTGGCACCAGAAGGCACTGGATTTGAATTTGGACGTCGAAAAAACCGGTGACCTAATGCTGCAGCAGGACTAATGCGTCGAGCTGGATCGAAAGTAAGCATTCGCAGTACAAACTCCAAGAAGATGCTGTAGTCCATTGGGGTGTGACCAGATTCATGTAAACGTCGCCCACGTGGTCCTCCAGTATTGACACCCAAAATTTCAGAAAGACGACGACTACCTGGTTGCTGGCAAGCAGCCTATGTTAATGAGAGTAGAAAGGAATTAAGCTAATATGTAAAATATAAATATATATAATGTTTTTCAAACTGTAGAATGGTTGATTATGTAGAGTAATGGTTAACTAACAAGTGATACATAATATGGAGCTGACATCCAGTTCAAAGTAGTACCAAAATAATATTTTTACGAAACATTTACCTACTTATAAGTAGTGTGCTTAGTCATCTAAAAATAGCTGACTTCGAGCCAATAGACGGGCTTGAAAACGTGAGATGAATAAAGATTATTATGTATAAAGGTGATTTATGAACGTGCAGATAATGAATCTGTTGAGTAAAAGGATCTGGAATCTCCACTAAATTTAATGAGTATCAGATAAAATAAACCACGCGTCCCAAAAAATCAGAGAACAAGTGAAAGAAAAGAGCATACTAATTAACTATTCTTTTTCGCGGTAATGTGTAGTTCCATTGGAGTAAGCGAACTACAGAATTTCGAAAAATTATTAAGATGACTTGTGATAATCTTATGTTAATATTTTATGAAAAGTTAATCTAAACGTTTTCTCATCTAACCTCAACTAAACTAACCCACTGTTCTCATGCTCAGATAACTTTCATATTTTTGGTATTACAATTGGTATCTACGTTGTATCATGTAATAATTAATCATAATTATAGCTGAAATTCAAATAAACGGAAATGTGTTATTAATAGTCCAATATTTCAAAATAGTGACTTGAATAGGTGGGTAATTTAATCAATCCTTAGATCACCTTGGTTTAACGTACAAGATATTACGGTGTAAACTTACGATATACATTAGTTTTAGCAATTGTCTTAAAGATAGATATATTGAGTTCAGGGTAAATTTTTCCAGCTTTAGAATAAAAAAATAGTGTGTTAATGCAGGAAAAATTATCGTAAAAGACCAGTTTCAATATGAGAAGAAAAACTTTCATTTGACAAACTTACTTTAGGTACATAAGTGCGATCAACTGTTCGTTCAAAAAATACATGCCAGCGACGACTTTTTTCTAGTAGTAACCGGGGTGGCATACCTAAAACTTCAATAATTTTCATCATTTGTCCAACCTGACAATAACCAAATGAAAAATACATTATGTTTCTAACTTTTAAACGATATTGAATGAATGGTTAAGTTAATGCATTTGGAGCTCAAAAGCGAATTAGTATAATTTATCTGACGGTATTCTGTTGAAGAATGATAAAATTAACTTTCAGTACAAAATATGTTTTACAGATAGGTAGGTAATAACAAAAAAGTATTGAATGCATTCATACGAACGTCCTGTAGTGTCAGGAGTATAATGATTACTATAGTTTGAAGTGGTTGTAAACAGACTATCGAGAAACCTCTTTCATAAACGTGGATGAGTTCGATTTATGATAAACATCACATATCCCTTTAAAAAAATATTAAATGGCTTATTAAGAGACAGTTTGATACGAGCAATCAATAGGACAAAAGTCAAATTACACGTGATATTTACATTTACCACCTAATAACAGCATGAAAGTGACAACTTTGTCCCCAGTGCTCATTATAACCTCGCTTTTCGGATAACTTTTAATAATCACTTCATACAATCCTACCACTAAATCCTTTACACTTTTTAATTTCTACGTTTGAAATCAAGACAAACCCTTTGGTTTTAAGAAATAGTATACTAAAGTTGTAAAATCAACGGAACAGCTTTTCGAATCAATTCACTAGTCAACGTTGGAATAATAAATCAAGGATATATGCCCTGTTCCTATAAACATGCATGTAGAACTCAGGTTTCGTTATTCACGTGACGACATTTATTCTATGCTGTAAGTATGTGTGCTAATTAGACATGGAGAGACGATTATTAGGGATAATGTTCGACTAGTAAAGTAACTAGATATAAATACAAGATGAAAAGAATTGGAAACGGATAATGGAACATAGTCAAGAAACTCACCTCATTTTGTCCAGCGAATAAGGGTTCCCCAGTATGTAATTCAACTAGAATACATCCCAGAGACCACATATCAATACTCATTGTATAATCTAATCCTAGTAGAACATCTGGCGAACGATAATAGCGTGATTGGATATATTGATAAATCTTCTCATTCATATGACAAGAGCTTCCGAAATCCACTAATTTTATGGTTGAGCGTTTAGGATTGACAAGTAGAATGTTTTCCGGTTTTAAATCACAATGTATGATTTGTAATTCAGGTCTAGATAAAAAATCTAATGCACAGCATAATTGTTGAGCGAATTTTCTTGTTAAACCCAATGAAACACCATGAAAATTTGTATTTCTTAAAAGATCATACAAATTGTATGAAAGTAACTCGAATACTAGACACAAATGACCTCTGAATGTGAAATGAGTAAGTAAACGAACTGACAGAAGAAAAAAGAAAAGAACACAAGCAAAATTAGTACAACAGAATTTTAGCTATTAACAAACTGCCTACAATATAATAATAAATGTTAGCATGTAAGGACCCTTGGTTAGTATAGAAATAGAAATCTAAGAACTATGATTCTTCCCAACTATGAGATAGATATGTCTTGACTGTTATATATGGAGTTTCAAGATCACTTGAAGATTATTTGGATTTTATTGGGACCGAATAAAACTGGAGGGATTAAGTGTCATTTAGCCATCGTATTTTGAAAATGTTAGACGAGAAAACTAATTATCGGTTAAAACGTTGATGGCAGTACGCTCAAAGCTACATGATTAAAACGTCGATGCAAAGACAGAATAAGAAAACTCCAGATGAAAGGTTGCTGAGAGCTGTTAAATAGTTACATTCTAAAATGTTAATACAAAAATCGATTCTATCTAGCTGGAAAGTCCTATTCCAAAGCTATAATCAAAGAAAGGTAATAGAATCAAATTGGGAGAATTACAACTTCATGGTTGTGATTAAAAGAAAATATTAAATGGCCGGTTGGTGAGATTCCAAGAAGAGAAGTATGTATGAATTACAATATCGATTACTCGTTTTTTAATGCTCACTCATGTAACTCAAGATTGTACCAAAGGACGAAAATACACATATTCTGGATGAAATTGCTGGTGGTAACATTTAGTTAGGGTGAATTAAAACGCCGAATATAATCATAAAGCTTCTATGTACGGCATATATAGTTATTAAGCAAATAAAGCTTCTTATAATTATTTCACGCTATATAGACTGTTGTATCGTTCGCTAGTGTAGCTCATCATATCAAAAACGAAATTACCTTTCGAAAACTTCATATAAAAGCACATTGAAATGTGTTTCACAAAATGAAGTAGTTATAATTAGAAATGATTAAAACGAAACTTAAAAGTATTGAACTAATGGAGAGATATTAATATATGGGTCTAATAAACCCATTTATTTTTATTTATTTATTTGAACACATAACTATTAGTACAAAGGGGAACCGAATACATATGCACCACACAAGTCACTTGATTTGTGAGTGGGCTGTGATAATGCCTGGGTACCCAAACCGAGACAGGTGGTTTATATAAGGGGGCCACGCCCGGAGCCTTCGATCTAAAGGTCTGATCCACAAGGCAGCGGAGAAACGTCAGGAGCTGCAGTCCTATGGTAGCTGATGACCAACGACTAGTTCATACGCCATTTGTTCCTTCAGGATACTGGACTCCATGTACACCATTGGTTTGGAATAAGGGTTTCCCAACTCTCCTAGGTGGATCCTACGTATTCAGCAACCAGGATAAGGCACCGGACGTTCGCTTTTCATCCCCCAAATTTCGTAAACAACACCCCCCCCCATGAGAAGGCAGTTAGTAGAACTTCCCTGGCAACGGCTGTATACGCACAGCTACGTGAGAGCATTTTGAGAGGGAGAGCGGACTCTCCCCCACCCTCGGTCGTACCAGGGCATTTATGATTTTTCACAAAATATAGCAGAATAGTAGCACTAACTACTAAATAAACAGATAAAAGCGTACATCAACTCTGAAATGTGTTATATGAAAAGTTGTATAAAAAAGAAATACGCTAACAGATAATTTTCTAACTGAGTCAATCATGATAAACAAACTTGGAAATAAACTACTATTTTACCGTATTCAACCAGAGTTAAAATGATTTATTAACTTAACACTGTCTCTTAATGAGAAAAAAACTCAACTAAAATCATTATTTCTGCTGTGAAATTAGTGGTTATTCATGAAATGGAAAACAAGAACCCAATGAAATCATTTTATGTACAAGGCAAAAATGAGAAGAACTCACCAATCAAATTAGATCCAGGTGGTGGTTCTTTCCCAGTTTCAGCAGCTTCTTCAACAAAATGATTCATTTCACGTAGCAAACGAATTTCCACTTGAGCTTGATTAGTGAATGCACGTTTATTTTTGATAATTTTAATAGCCACATCTTCATTTGAAATACAATCATGTGCTTTCATTACCTGATAAATTACACACAGTAAATTAGAAAACAGGTAAATTTTAAAAAGGCATCTTACAGGCTGATATGTACAAATAAAAGTCTTTTAAAAATAAAATGAACTGTTCAGTAAACTATATCAGTAAATTAGCCTGTAACATGTACAACCATGAAATACGTATTATTTGGAATATAATTACGTTCCTGTTCAACCGTGTTCTGATTAATGGACTTGTCGAGTGAAGTAGTGTTAAGGATTACTAAGCAATAGAAGCAGGTGAATCGTAAACAAGAGAAATTCTAACACTCATCAATGTGAGAAGTTGGTGAGCGAAACGATATATTTATGTAATCTCCTCCCATGCTTATGAGAATCGCGGCATGAATGAAACCAAGGATGAGTTCTGAGAAAAATTTGATGATCGATTACAGAGACTTCACTTGTTAGATAATGTAGTACTGGCTTGAGATTTGAATGACCACTTCCGGCGCTAACATTAATTGCATGCACATTGAGATTAGCTATCACCCATTCAATCGAAATCTTAGGGTGCGATAAAAAATTTTGGAATTCGTGAACTTGAAGCTGACGAATGGTGAATATGTGGTCGATGCAGCCATGACCAGATCTGAAGCCAGCTTGATTCTCTCGTGTTTGCAGTTCACGAGTCTTTGTTAAGCGTCCGACAACAATCGAGGCTAGTAATTTAGATGCTATATTAGTCAAACTAATCCCTCAATGGTTATCACAGGATGATTTTGACCCTTTCTTATGTATTGGGACGATAAGTGATTGTGACCAGTAAGATGGGATTACGTCCAACTTCCAGAGTTTGGATAAACTATTAGTCAACCTAGTTGCTAAAATTGGACCACCATCCTTGAAGACTTCTGACGCCAATCCATCTGGACCAGCTGCTCTTCCTCGTTTCAGATTAATTATAGCCTTTTATACTTCAGATAGAGTCGGGAGACCTACTTCAATGTTCCATTCACATTGTCTGGGAAGGGAGGGTAGTTGTAGAGTAGCTGAAGGCCAGTTGCACCAAAAAGCATTCTTGGTCTACTTTAACTTGAAGTACTTTGGTTAAAGCTTGGAATTTTTTGCTAAATTTTGTCCTGAGTACCTTTTTTTACTCCTGACTAACACTTGTTTTCACATTGTGATCATTTTGTGTTTTTTAAACCTTTTAAATCGAATTACAATGGTTGGTAAGACTCACAAATGTGGGCAACCAAATTGTTTGTTCCCCGTGGAGGAGGGAATGCAATGTGACGATTGTAAAAAATGGTGCCACAAAATGTGTACACGCCTAAGTCCGACGGCTTACAAAAGATGCTCGAAGCCTAACTCGCATTGGCTTTGTATGTTCTGCTGTACGGATAAAAAGGTACTAATTCAGGAGGCTATGGGCCTATTGGCTTTGGGCTGCAAGAAAAACGTCCGACCGTTGTTGCTACCTTGACGTGGTGGTCGGGCTTGCCTATCGTGATGAAGCAACCGAGCTATACTGGTTGGAACAACCGTCCCTCAAGGTCTTACCATGCCAGACAGGTCGGTTGAAGAAGGGTAAGACTAAAAGCAACAAATCGAAGGTCCGAAGGCGAAGTCGTACTGCTGACTGTACAAAGGTGTGACAGTAGTAAGGTGTTTCCTTCAGACGACCAGCATGACAACGATGCTGCCTTCCCACAAGGAGGGGTGGGGTTAGAAAAGGCCGACCCTAAAAATGCACGCCTCGCCTTATCCCACGGATATCCGTCTCCGGCGGTAAGGTCTCAACAAGTACGGAGCTAACACAAAAATCACCCACAAAAAAGTCGTGTGTGACCGACCTCAAGCAGTTCTCCCTTGGGCACTGCGGTCACGCTCTCAGGTCACTAAGACCACCTCTAATCTAATTTCCTTTTCAGGTACCCCCAGAAGAACCTTTCCACGGTGTGGGCAACCGGAAAGTGATAACCGCCCTCATACCTCTAACAGCACTCAAGACCACTGTATTTTTACCAGTTGATAAGGGAAATTCAATTTAGTGATAATTGCTGATTCTGTAAGGATACACTTTCAAATTAAACAATTCCACATCTCATTACAAGATTAACATGTAAGTCAAGCGTATTATCGCATTAGGTATAGCATCTACAAAGAAATATCGAAGATTCTGTCATAAAATTGTTGTAAATATAAGATGCAATACTGTTCTTATTACACACTAATTTTGAGTTAAAGAGACATTGTAGTTGTGATAAATGACTTATATTTGGCCTCGATGGAATAGCTCTGACGAATCTATGTGGATACCTAACAGACGTTTAATACGTTTATGGATAGTGGTATATAGGTACAGAAGCCTTCGTTCATAGATGATGCATCCTGTATAAAAATGATTGAGTTTCAGGTAAAAAATCTATCATGAAAAAAGACGTGTAATTTGGTTAAAGGAAAATTTACCTGACCAAACGATCCTTTCCCAATAAGATTGTTAATTAAGTATTGTCCCATCCATACCTCACCGGGCCTAACAATGTAATCATAATTGCTATCTGTATGACGACGATCTACATGATGAGTGGTAGTAGTAGTAGTAGTACTAGTAGAACTATTTACTATATTAATTTTGCTTGAACCAGATATCACAGATGATTGTTGCACTGCTGCACTAGCTGCTGATAAGACTGTTGCTGATGTCCCAGGGATGTCTGAGTTTGTGATCGCCACCTTGGTTCCTATTTGATTTATACCAGAACGGTGAACAAACTGATTTGACAGTGCTGAGTTGAAAAACAGAGGTTGATTTACATATGTAACATTTGTGGATTTTGACAGAGCATTTTGTGCATAGGAAGAGTGCAACACTTCATTAGTAGACAAACCAAGTGGATACAGCTGATTTACATTGCCTTCATGAGGTCGTGCAACGCATGTGCTTAAAGATGTAACTAAAGCTGGATTAGACACGTGACCGGAAAAAATGGATGGCAAAAGCGGGCTGGTAGGACTAATGCTAGTAACCCCAAGGATGTTATCATGTGGTGATGTTCTTGTATTTGCTAAAGCATCTTGACTTTGTGACGTGAGGTCGAAACGTTGACGAAAACCAGCTACAAAATAATATTTTAAAAAATTATCGATGAAAGTGTGAAATAGTAAAAATCAATAAAGCATATATTCTAGTCATTACTTATTCCTAAGAACATGTACTTCACAAGTTTTCCAGAATATCGCTTCGCCGAACTAATATGAAATATCTGAAAAGCTTGAAGGATGTAGTACTGGTAAAAATCTGAACAGACTACAATTAACATGAGTTACAATTGATTGATCACTGGGTGGTGATCAATGTCATGCTTGTCTAGTCCTTATTAGTGCAGATCGAATGCTATCGATCATGTTGTAATGTGGCCACCAGTCTAGGTGACTCGACACTGCGGGCACTATGTATTGAGATTTAGATGGTGGTTGGAGGTAGTCAACAGGAAACCCTGACCCGGGTTTCGTGCTACTTGGCACTCGTCAGCAAGGTGTACCTGTAATCTTGAGGGAACTGGTGCTCCCTGGCGGACTCGATCTCGTGTCACCCAGCTTCACAGTCAGAGACGTTACCACTGAGCTATCCGAGCCGTGACTAACCTCAATCAATTGTGATTACATCTCAGTCCTACAGGAGGTTAGTCACGGCTCGGATAGCTCAGTGGTAACGTCTCTGACTGTGAAGCTGGGTGACACGAGATCGGGTCCGCCAGGGAGCACCAGTTCCCTCAAGATTACAGGTACACCTTGCTGACGAGTGCCAAGTAGCACGAAACCAGGGTCAGGGTTTCCTGTTGACTACCTCCAACCACCATCTAAATTAACATGAGTTTTTAACACAATACACAACGTAGACCAACATAAATTGATATTATAAACAATGATAGATAGTGGCTAACAGTGGAATCCAGGACGCGCGTTTCGTCCTGTTTGGGACTCGTCAGCTGGATGTACCTGCATCTCAGAGTTAATGTTCACTCTGGGACTCGAACCCAGTACCATTCGCTTCAAACGCCATCGCACTATTCACTCAGCTCATGAGTCCTGATAGCCACTTGATATTAGTTCAGAAAAAATTTAATGTCGTGCAATCTTAATTGATCTAAGCTTAAGAGAATTTACGTAATTACTTCTGAATAGTAACACAATCTTTGACTTCTGTTGAGGTACGTACTGATTGTAATGATGAAGTCATGTTGATGATTCCGTTAAGTTACTAATATATATTTATAATGCAGGGCAGTGAGCAGAAGTATTGCACAGATTGGTAACAAGTGCGACAAGGTGGAAAAAACCAGAAAAAGTTGATTTTATATTGTGAAAACAAGATCATTAACAACAATCGATAGGTGTTATTAAATATTCTAGATAAGATTAGTAAGGAGTAAACAGTTATGAGGCTATGCAAATGCAAAATATTCACTGTGACTAGTTATTTATTATGTTGGAACCAAAACCCACAGAAACGTTCGATAGAAGTCTTGCATTAATGAACTTATTATTAGTTGTAATTGGATGTATTTATTAACAAACCAGCGTCGATATGTGTTACATCATTACAATCAAGGGGTAGACAGTAACTAAACTTAGAATTTCAAAAAATCCATACATTTAGTTTCTTTAATTCAAATTTAACGCAATCAAAACATTTGCAAAAAACGTGTTCATATTAATAAATGGAATTTTCATTAGTTGTGCATAACCCGAAGAGACTGATTAATGGTCACAACATAAAAGATGAACATATTCTACAAGATGGATTTAAGTGTATTAAGTCCACGACCTTCGAATACGGTTGTTAGTTGTCAGGAGAGTTTATAAGCCAAAAGTTAGGAGCTGTGTTTCCATGGTGACCACGACCATGATAGGCTTACACAGTTTGTTTCTTTAGAATCATAGAGCCTATATGCACCCCTGGTTTGGAATTTTAAATCACCATGGATGGATCCATCAAGTTCACGGGTTCTGCTTACATGACGAACATATTTTAACAGCTCCACTAAGTTAGCCGAGAGTTGAGTTTCTTAGCTGACTCGAAACATGTCATTCCTCTCTTACCTGAAATCACGTACAAACCTACAGTATTGTAGGCTCGATCGCTATACTGGATGTAAGTAGTAATCTGAAGACACCAAAGATCGGATGTATATTCCACGGTAAAAAAACAGCTCAAAAACTCATATTGACATAGAACTCATCATTGTTTTCGACCCAACTTTATTTAAGCTGACTCTTATTAATACTTCAGCAAGAAGTGCTACAAATCTAAAGGACTTTTGGATTCGCATAAAATGAATATTGACATAAAATCATAACACGTAAATTATGAATCTCGTTTTAGACATACACATATAAGACGGTGAAGTTACAGAAGTTGACACCAAATTATTTTGACTATGGCTAATAGGACACGTATTTGCAGTATGTTGATGCGTATTTAAAAACATCCCAGATATTCGACTATTAGTCGGGGATATTGAATCAAGCGGTGTTAAATTATAATAACATGCTGATGATCTGAAACTATTGTTATGTGTACAATTCGAGGAACTGAAATTTCCAACCGGGAAAGAAATTGAATGATGTGGATTGATTGGTTTCGTAATATCTAAATTGAATTGATTCTGATAAAATCCTTCGGTGGTGGTGATACTGGTATTCCTAGCTTCTGTTGTTGACAAAAGACACAGAGGGATTTGAGATGAGTTTTTTGAACGAATGTTGTTGTCTAGAGACAATGGATTTTGCTCCATATAAGTGGGAAAGTCTGTCTTTGACGGCAGAAAAGATTGATATGGGAATATGTGTTGCAAATGTGTGGAATGTGGCTCAGTATCTCTCTGGTTAGTAGAACCACGTGGGTCTTTTTGGTCACGAACTACCGACTTCCCACTTTCTAGTAGGAGTGGTCTAGAAATATGTGTTGCAGTTGCACCGGAACTGCTTGTTGGTAACCAAACATTATTGAGGGTAACAGGCATGAATCTTGAGTCTACTTGTGAATTACCGGTGTCATAGATAGACTCAGAAATATCTAAAAGAAAGAGATAATTGGGCTTTGTGAATTGTATGAAAGTGTAATTTTATAAACAAATGAAACTAAGAAAACATTTTTATTCACTACTTTTAAGGAAACGATTGTTGGGTTCAATTTACATTGAAAATATTAGAACTCAAATTTCAGTTCGAAATAGGACATTATTGTTAGTATTTAGCACTTTCAGACATCCAGTATGTATACGGATATATGTTGTGTTGCTGGTTTGATTATTCCCTTCAAAGTTATTTAAAAATATGGTCAAAAACTGCGGCTTTTTCGCAGATAGACATCACAAATACAGTCTGAGACAGATGTGAGTTGGCTCAAGTTCCCATACCACATTGAGACGACGAGATGAAAATAACGAGCGATCAGAATAATGTGGTATCAATGACAAAAACACCAAAGAAATTTCTGACGTTTCGTGACAGTGTAAGGCATTTCTTCAGAGTAAATAAACAACCGGATTCTTTATTTTACTCTGAAACGGTTTACACTAGGTCATGAAAAGTCAAAAATTTTAATTTCTACACTGTGATACCACAACTACATCATTATTTTACTATCACCATTCTACTCAGTGTTCATTTTATTTGAAATTACCAGGTCTAACCTTGGTAATGACCAATAAAGTCTAAATTTTGAGAATATGGTTTGAAGGAACAGTGAAAAGATATATATATGAACAAATACTGAAATTCAAGACAGAAAATGAAGTAAATGAATTTGAGCCATTGCGAACTACGTTGACCTATGCTACCAAAGTCTCGAAGCACTGATCGTGCTTACCATATGGACTCTAACGTGGTACCCCAAACTTACCAAAACGGCTCAATCAGTCAATTGCAACGTGGGACTAGCCACATATATGCATCAGTCCAAGTTGCCATATCTCATTAGCACAACAAGATGAACACCAAATTCATAGAAGTAGTTAATCCAGTGGTGGTAATATATAAAAGAAAGATTCCATATAAGGACATAGTACAGGAAGAAAGATCTAGTATGTAGAAAGAAAGATATGAAGCGATTTTAATCTCATAGTTTAAAGGAAGACAAAGAGTGTATACACCTACGCCATTGTGATCGGTTCTGAGTCCTATCACACAGTCTCCAACCAATGGTTACGATAGTCACGCGGACCCCAACCAAGTGGACAGCCTTGACGGACACCACTTGAGGTTGTAAAAGTAGATGACAGTTCGCCATAAGCCCTGACTCGACTAGTAGTGTTCGAGTAAAGAGCCTTTACAAGGTTTATGTACTTCTGGGGTACACCTTTCAATGATAGATACTGCCATAGAATCTCGCGGTCTACAGAGTCAAATGCTGCTTTTAAGTCAAGAAAGACCACCATTGTCGGACTCCGATAAGTATGCCTGTGTTCTAGAACCTGACGAATGGTGAATATGTGGTCGATGCAGCCATGACCAGATCTGAAGCCAGCTTGATTCTCTCGTGTTTGCAGTTCACGAGTCTTTGTTAAGCGTCCGACAACAATCGAGGCTAGTAATTTAGATGCTATATTAGTCAAACTAATCCCTCAATGGTTATCACAGGATGATTTTGACCCTTTCTTATGTATTGGGACGATAAGTGATTGTGACCAGTAAGATGGGATTACGTCCAACTTCCAGAGTTTGGATAAACTATTAGTCAACCTAGTTGCTAAAATTGGACCACCATCCTTGAAGACTTCTGACGCCAATCCATCTGGACCAGCTGCTCTTCCTCGTTTCAGATTAATTATAGCTTTTTATACTTCAGATAGAGTCGGGAGACCTACTTCAATGTTCCATTCACATTGTTTGGGAATGGAGGGTAGTTGTAGAGTAGCTAAAGGCCAGATGAACTGCTCCTTAAAATGTCCCACCCATCGTTCTAAACGTCTAAACTGGGAGCAGATAAGAGTGTCATCTTTTTCCGACATAGTCTCACTCACACTTGAATTATTAATTCCAGTTTCTTTTATTAGTCTGTAGAGCTGTCTTATGTTCCCTATAGCCGCCGCCTATTCCATCTATATGGCTTTCATTGCCCACCACTTCTCACGGTCATTCCTTAGACTTTTGCCTAACCTAGATCTGATTTGTTTTCGCTCTTCATCGTGTTCAGAGCCTGATGGGATGAGTTTACGAGAATCCATCAATGCAATAGACTTAGAAGAAATCCATTGGTGTTTTGTAACACTTTGGTTTAAGTCACTAACAGATGTTACTGCTATTTCCACAGCTGATAGTATATTTTTACAAGCAACATCTGGGTCAGCCTCGTTTTCAGAACTACCTAAGTGTGATCTCAGTTGTTCCTGGAACCTACTTTTGGTTTTCTCGTCACTCAATTCAATTCTAATGGGTCCTTTTAGTGCAACTTTTCTGCGTCCAGTGAGGCACAAGCAGAGGCGTGCCCGTATTAGAGCATGGTCGGAGTCCAAGCAGGTATTCCAGAATGAGCGACAATCTTCTATCAACCCTCTCCAACGATGACTGATGGCAATATGGTCTATTTGAGTCCATCGTTGATTTGGTGCAGGGGGTCGCCATGTTAGACGTCTCTCCTTATTTTTAAAATTAGTGTTTGCTAAAAATAAACGATTGTCTGAGCATAATTGCAGCAGACGATCACCATTATCTGTTCGCTGAGCCGGAATACCAAAATGCCCACATAAATGTCTTTCTGTTTGGTTTAAGCTACCTACCTGGGCATTAAAGTCACCTGCTACGAGTACTATGTCTGAACGTTTAGCTATCTGCATCTCGTCGGCTCTCCGTTTTGCCGAGGTGAGGTCAAGTGAATGACCACACTAGGATCTTGTATGTGTGTTTCGGAGAAACAGCAAACATCAATGGTACGAGATTCTAGGGTTTTAGCCAAGGGAGCCTGCTGACCGATTTGATATAGTGTGCGTACGTTGAAAACTCCAATGTGTAGTTTGGAGCGAGGAAGCCGAAAGAGGAAGTTTAGCGTTGAAAGTCGAGGTAGGAGGAATAATAGGAATTGAAGAGGGAGGTTGATTATGAATGCAGTGGTCTTGAGTGCTGTTAGAGATATAAGGGCGGTTATCACTTCCCAGTTGCCCACACCGTGGAAGGGTTCTTCTGGGGGTACCTGAAAAGAAAATTGGATTGGAGGTGGTCTTAGTGACTTGAGGGAGTGACCGCAGTGCCCAAGGGACAACTGCTTGAGGTCGGCCACACACGATATTTCTGCGAGTAATTTCCGTGTTAGCTCCGTACTTGTTGAGACCTTGTTGTGCGGCGCATATATATTTGGTGCCCTCTTGTACCAATATTTATGTGTTCAAATAAATAAATAATAAACACCGTCGGAGACGGATATCCGTGGGATAAGGCGAGGTGTTGAATATTTAGGGTCGGCCTTTTCTAACCCCACCCCTCCTTGTGGGAAGGCAGCATCGTTGTCATGCTGGTCGTCTGAAGGAAACACCTTACTACTGTCACACCTTTGTACAGTCAGCAGTACGACTTCGCCTTCGGACCTTCGATTTGTTGCTTTTAGTCTTACCCTTCTTCAACCGACCTGTCTGGCATGGTAAGACCTTGAGGGACGGTTGTTCCAACGAGTATAGCTCGGTTGCTTCATCACGATAGGCAAGCCCGACCACCACTTTAAGGCAGCAACAACGGCTCAGACTAACAGTCAATAACTTCATATCTTCGTACAACAGCATATTTCTATAGCAGTAGACATAGTGCGTTGAGGTTGGCAGTGGTTAAATATGCGTAGCACATGTTCAAGTCCCCTTTGTCGATGAGGATCCATACACCCCCTTCAACCGATCTTCTACATTTGTCTAGTACCGTATGCCTAGCCTCAATATTACTCACGCGGCTATCCCAAAATAAACAAACAATGCTTCGAAGATATATGTGATCAAAAGGTTGCACCCCACTTGTCTTTTATACTTTCATAGACCATGTTTCACAACAATCAAGTGATACATATAGGACTACCTTGTAATATACACATGGGAAACCCTAAAAAACACCAACTGACAGTTTACCGATGAATTCGGACTCGACCAATAGTGTCTGAGCTGAGATTCTTACGAGGTTTATGTACTTATTTGGTAACCCCTTTAATCATAAACAGTTTCAAAAAACAACTCGGTCAAAAGGGTTGCATGCTACCTTAAGATCAAGAAGAAAAACCATAGTCGCATGTCGGTAAATATGACTGTATTTTAAAACCTAACGAAAAATGGATATCTGGTTAATACATTAACGGCCCGGGATAAGCCCAATCTGATTTTTATGGGTTTGCTCTTCGCAACTAGTTATGTATTGGATGATTATAAAGGTTAGTATTTCAGACAGTATATTAGTCACAATGATTGCTTTATGGTTATCAGAAGAGGATTTTTGTCCTCTTCTTACAAACGGAGACGATCAGAGATCAAAACCAATCCGATGGAATTGTGGGCAGCTCCCAAACTCTAGCCTGTATCTCGATCACCTTGGCTGCTAAAAGTGAACCACTATCTTCAACAGTCTCCGGAGTTAATCCACCAGGTTCGCTGCTTCCTTCGCTTTAGATTAGCTATAGCTTTTTCAATCGCGCTAAAATCTGAGACTTGTGATAATTTCCTATTCAAATTATTTGATGGCAGTGGGTGCATGTTACTTATATTGACAGATATGAGCCGTATGTAGCACCAATCGAAAGTGGAATGCCTGGTGGCAGGAGATTGCAATGAAGACAACAGGAAGGAAATCTGAGAGCAATCGAAATAACAATAGAATTAGAGGAACAATGGAGTGTGTGAAAGACAACGCAAAGATGTGCAAATGATATATTTGATATATAATTTTCATATTTTACTAAGCTACTGTGTGATTTTGCGTTAGACAATAAATTGGTTTCCTTCCACCTGAGTGTTCCTTTACTGAAGAGGGTAGCTTTTTGGAATACCTTTCCATTTTTACAGTTCGAGAAAGAACGAAATCATGGTTGATTGCTGTATCATAAGTAACCTTCAGATCTCAAAGTATATGAAAAACAAGTTATTAGACAACACCGTTATACATAGAATAGTTATGAGTAAATAAAAGTTGATATTAATTACCTAGTGTAGAAAAACGATTTGTTACTCCATTTAACGTGGTTGAATCATATAGATAAGGTTGTACTATTTGATCTGAATTCACTCGAAGTACATTCGGCACGGCCCGATGTCGAGGGTGAGGCGAGCTTTTGGAAGACACAACAGAATTGTTGCATGGAAACGTTTGTGACTGAACAGCTGAACCTACATTGTAATTTGTGGGCACGTTCATAGCATTGTTAGAAGTTGTAGAACTATGTTGAACTGAAACACATGAAGGAAATGATTGGTGTTCTGTGGTCCTAGTAATACCACCCAAAGTGCCATGGTCATACATTGGTTGTGTTTTGATACACGCTTCACTACTATCCGGCATCCTCCAAAATGAATCCAGGTGATCACCAAGCAATAGATCATTTTCAGGTGAGCGAACTTTTTGAAGGTAAGGTACTTCAGGAACTGTAGCAGAAGCTTCATTTGTTTGACGCTGTTGTTCGCGAATTCGTCGCTTCTTACGATAGTACACCTAAAAACAAGTGATAACATATAAGCATGGTAACCAACGGTTGAATGATAATGAACTACAATGAAATTCAACCGGATATGACCATGCGAATAAAACGGTACGATTGAGGGTTAAAAGCTTGCTATTTTTTTTCAAAATAGCCTCATAAGATTCCGAGCTCGTGTCTTGAGAATAGAATCCTAACTTACTACCTTTAAATAGTTGGGAATATTCGTTACAAAAATGAACGGGTGGCGCTTATATACAGGGATGACATGCATAGAGGGTTTACTTAAAAGAGCAGAGAAACCGATTCAATAGTGGTGGGAAACATTAATTTGTGGATCCTGAAGGAGATATGATGTATGTATCTGTTCTAATTACTGGTTTATGTGAACATGTTACCACTGTCTTATGGATAAGACTTTTATGTGAAAGGTTTGATGATAATCTCTTAAAAATCCATTTTCTTTTATGAGGATGTAACAGCAAAGTTCATAAATTAGACGTTTACCGGGTTTTACTAGTGTTTGATTGCAAATGTAATGTCTTGTTTTCTTTTTAGAAAAGTACGCAAGCGATGAAAAGCTCATTTAAGACTGAAATCGCAGCTGCACAGTATTGGTAGTTAGCTAGCCAGTTTCTCCTGATATAATGAATCCAAATGGTCTAGGGACTAGAATCCCAGTTGTCTAGCCAGACACGAATCTATTTCCACATATAAATTTGGAAGCAATGTAGTACTGTTAACGATGTACTGAAAAAATCCGTAGTCTAAACATTTTAAGTTTATGTAAATGATGTGCAACTTTTTCGCTAATGTCTAGGTCTTCATTTTCGTTTATATTGTAACAAAAACGGTGCTAGACATATCGGAAGTTCGTGGGGAAGAACAAAGACTGGTTTTCTAGTTCCACTTTTCACTACATCCTGAAAATATAACTACATATGTTGGGATTTGGGGAGAAATATCTTAATGACTACCTTCTGCCCGTACAAAGACAAGTGTTTCAAAAGTTACAACCCGATTGGGTCAGCAAAACAATCCATCCTAACTTCCGCTTCGGTTGAATTGCACACGAAGATACTTTACTTCTCCATAAATAAATTAATCAAAAGTCACTAACATGAAGCTTATTCAGAGTACAGTCTCTTATGTATTATAGTTGTGCTAGTGAATGGACTATAATACCGGAAATCCTGATGACGAACGGTTTAGTGAGTAACAAACACCGTCCAACGTTAATGTAAAGATTTCTTAAAACGATTTACATGTTTAGTTAATATTTTGATTCAATGAGTTTGTACTGTTATTATAATTACGCACTAATGGGATACAAAATATATCCTAGTTTAATTAGTACGTGATTCAGTAATATAGTTTTAGAAACTGAATTTGTTACACAAAATCATATTTTACACAAAAAATCTGTTCACTCACATTGTTCTCTTACAAACGGAAAAAATATTGCATGTTTGACAGGACACATGACTCGTATGCTTAGTTTGATCCCTACTGATAGATGATTGACTGTCTTCTAAGTGGTGACTACTATCAGTTTGTGAAGACCATTTGTTCAGTCGTGCATTAACTTTACAGCGACCCTAAAAACTTTCGTAACAGTCACAGTTCTAACGTAGGCTGGTTCTGAGAGATTTGAAGGTCTAGAGAATTTTAGGTTTCCTTATATGACGATGACCATCAAAGACCAATTTAGGATTTCGCTATTAAATAATCATTTCAAACTCTAGTATACATTCCCTAAATAAATCTCTAAACTGGAATATCATTTGGTTGCGAATATATACATGACCAGGTCAAATTTATTGTGACTGATATACGCTATCAGGTATGCAGCGGAGCACCAGGCTCCTCAAAGAGCGTGGATAGAATATGTGCCATGAATAATGCGTCTTTGCAATACCACATTTTAAATCTAATCAACTAGGTGACTGAGAACTATCTGAATATATATAGTAGTGGAGAGAAGCTAAAAATTTTATTAATTTTAGTTAGACCTCAATTCTAAACTGATCGCTTAGTAACCAATCCCATATGTTTAAGAAAAGTGATGTTGACGCTATAAAAAAGAGCAGTAGTAATTTACAAGACTTACGATAGTAAAATTTGCTCGCGTGTGATATAGTAAAACATAGCCATTTAAACATTACCTCGTTTATGTGCTTGTATGTTTGTATTAGATTTACAGACATTTTTCTTAAAGGAATGGACCAAGGATCACGGCGTCTGAGAGAAGACATTGCAGTGTGTGAGCTTGATTGGATTTGTAAAAGTGGTGAATTTAGACAAAGGTCATTAATTAATGCTGAGTGTTGTGGTAACTGACGTAAATGAATCACATCCTGCTCCTTTAAATTGACCATGTCTTTGTAGTTGTTCAATTTCGCAGGGTAGTTTTGCGCAGCATATGCTGATGCAGCCAATATAGCTGCTGCAGCAGACGCTCCCATTAATCTTTGACGAGCGCTAATAGAAGGGTCATCTGGGATATGAGAGAAAGTTATTTTGGAACAAGAAGAAATTACTGGGTCTGAATTATAAGTAACTGAGGTAAGTGGTCGGCTATCACAAATAGGCTGACTAAGTTGACCATATGAAGATGATGTTGAAGCTTGTAAAGGTGGACTATTAACAGGATTAGTACTAGCACTATTTCTTGTACTAGATGAAGTGGTAAGTCGAAGTGAAACTTGGTCATCTGCAGCTACTCTGGATAAAGCTGAAGACAAAGAGAGCGACGAAGAAGTTATAACACCCGTGTCCAACGTGAGTGCAATAGGAGACAACGTTGTAGACAAACCAACAAAAGGTGAAGGTTCCTCCATAACACGATGATATAAAGTTTGGTTTACGTCACCAGCTTCATCCTCAGAGAACCATCTGCGACTAGATGGGTTATCATCGTCGACAGTTTCTAAATCACTCATTTGAAGTTGAGAATACCCTTTGATCTGTGGTGGAAGACATTCCGAACTGATAAACCTTGACGGTTGCTCTGAAACTTCTAACGACTGATTACGTAAGTTAGGAGAAAATAGTATTTGTCCTCTGGAAAGTGGAGGGGGTGGAGAGGGTCGGTAACGTGCAAAAAGAGGAATGGACTCTTCCTTGACGGCTCTACCATCAACTGAAGTAAGGGAAAATGTTCCAATATCATAATCTCCCGATTCACAATCGCCTGGACTACCCCCAAATCCTACAGGTTGTTGATTGAACTCTCTTGCTAACAAGGCATCGTCATCTTCATCATCGTAATAATTATCCATACATTGTAAAGTCAAATCGCTCATTTGACTTCCAGAATCAACCAGTTTCTTAATGACATCAGACTGCTCTTTCTCTTCCTTTGGAAGTGATCGGATTTGATTATTTGACCCTAGGATGGAAAGATGACTTTGAACCTCATTCATGGAGTCATCAATATTAGAATTGCTGGAGGGATCTTTTGTAGAAGAACTCAAAAAACTATTATCCGCAGAATTAGTAAGGTTATCTGCATTATGCAAAATACCATCACATGGTGCGGGGCAGCTATACTGAGATTCACACGACTTTGTTGGCTGGGTTGGTCTAAGTGTTGCTTTTGTTTGACATAGATGCATTTAATTTTTATGCCAATTTGATATCTACCAGCTCCAGAAGTGTTGCATCCTGGTTTGATTTGGGACAATCATATTATCTTGAAATATTCAGAGACGATTTCTATGTAAGACAAATGTCATATTCTGTCTAACATTACTTAAGAATTTGAATGTAAATTAGTAACATCTCTGAGTAAATAAACCTACAACAAATGAAAAACAGTATGTAAGAAAACCTGCGAACCTCCTTGTGATATTCATTAAAATTAAAATAGCTTCAAAGTTTGGACATGAAAATACGAAAACTAACATGAAAAATATGGTCACGGAGTTTGTATTTAGTTTACTTGTTAAGTCTATGGCAACCTCAACTGGACGATGCTCATTGGAACGAGTCAGTCAACTAAAACGTAGGACAAGGCACATATATGCATCAGTCCAAGTTGCCATATCTCATTAGCACAACAAGATGAACACCAAATTCATAGAAGTAGTTAATCCAGTGGTGGTAATATATAAAAGAAAGATTCCATATAAGGACATAGTACAGGAAGAAAGATCTAGTATGTAGAAAGAAAGATATGAAGCGATTTTAATCTCATAGTTTAAAGGAAGACAAAGAGTGTATACACCTACGCCATTGTGATCGGTTCTGAGTCCTGTCACACAGTCTCCAACCAATGGTTACGATAGTCACGCGGACCCCCACCAAGTATTCTGCATCTGCCAACGTGGCTCAGACTAGAAGTTAATGACTTCAAGGACTGATGCCACATTTTGATTTGGCCGCCACTAACTTTCTTCCAACCATCTCCAACACTAGTCACCATTGTGCGTCGTGGTAATCGGTGTTCATGCAACGTTACACGTGGCACATCCATCTCAGTCGATGAAGATTCACAACCTCATCAACTGGATCGAGTAGCCACACTTTATACCAAAACAGTGGGAATAAATTAACAGGAGAAGCAAAAGGAGCCGAAATGATAACTAGGGTAAGAAAAAACGAAATATTGAGTGTTGGGAGAGGGGAATGGAAAGAATCAGGGGTAAAAAAGCATGGGGTAATGTCAGTACACATTATGCAATCATTTTCAGAATATTAAGAAACTGCTAGTTTTCAGAATATATTAATGAAACTTGAGATTTGGAGGGAGATAAAGATTAAATACAACTAAGTCACTGCAGCTGATGCTTCCATGTCGTTTGAGACATAACCACTACGACTATCCCGAGGATAATTTAAGACGTGGGGCTGGAGATGGTAGGTTATAAAACGGAATTAATTTAGGACTACTGAGTTTTCAGGTTTAGGAGCTCTCAACCTTGCCTAAGAACAATATTGGCCTGAGGAATCCGATTTTACTTTGTCTATGACCAGCTAACTGTAAGGATTCACGAGTGGGATGTAAGGAAGCAACCTGGTACGGTCGAGAGTGCAGAGTCAGCTCTCTCTCTCTCTCTCTCTCTCGAAATGCTCTCAAATGACCACGTACCAATGCCACGGAAGTCCCACTTACTGCCTTCTCGAGGGGGTGTTGTTTACGAGATTGAGAGAACGAAAAGCGAATGTCCGGCGCTTTATCCGGGTTAGTGAATACGTAGGATGCACCTACGGGAGTCAGAAGACTCTGATTCCAAACATCTGGTGCATATGGGCTCCAAGGTTCTAAGGGAACAAATGGTGTATGAACCCATTGTTGGTGACCGGCTACGATAGGACTGTATCTCCTTACATCGCTTTACTGCCATGCGGATTAGACCTTCAGGTCAAAAGGTCAGGATGCGGCACTCTAAGAAAACCACGTGCTTCGATTTTGGCACCTGGGCAGTATCACAGCCCACTCACAAACCGAGTGACTTATGTGGTGCATATGTATTCGGTTCACCTTTGTATCAATGTCTGTGTTTAAATAAATAATAACGGAAGTCCGACGTTGTAGGGACTGCAAAGTGACAGTGTTTATGTAGCTCAGCGCAAATTACGAACTTGGCTTTAAATCACATTATGTAATGAAGTAAAGTAGGTAGTTTGTAGCCAGAGTCTACGACCCAATAGTTGAAACCGCAAAAGGGATTCTCGAATAAGAAAGAAATCAAGTACATAGGCTCAACTATCATATCTCACCGAGTCCATCTGCAGCTCATCGTAAAGTATTTGACAATTATGTGTTCACAAAATTTTTCATAGTACTGGGATGCTGCAAACAGTAATCTGGTTACCAATAATGACTCATACGCTAACGGCTTTAACAATACTTGAGTTCCGTAAGTAATTCCATTTCTTTCTAATGAAATAAAGAATCGTTTGAACCTTATATGTTATCTTAAAAATAAATAAGCAATTTTATTATGTGGTTCATTTAAACGGCAAACTAGCTGCGATTCGTATATTTTACTATCATGCTTGCAGGGCTACGAGAATAGATTTGGAGTCATAGAACGTATGTCAGTAAAATAAAACCTGAAAAAGCAAATCGAAAAGAACTCATATGTGATATTTGAAAATTAACTGCTTGAAAACCAAAATGCAACTATTTACGTTCGACAGCAAGTAGAGCAGTCTAGTAATTAAAGAACCTCTAAACAGGTGCATGAGTCGTGTTTTAAAAACTAAGCCATTGTACCATGTATCAAATAGAACAGAGAATGAATTGCATAGACTCAACTGTTAAACGTGTTTTGAGGTGAGGTGATTTAGTAGTAGATAATAAAGTTAATCTTGTAGAACGGTCGCATTGACTCACAAGATCCGGTTACTGAATTAGCAAGGGTACTACGTCCCTATCTTTTTAATTCGGAAATCACTTTCACAACTGTGTCGGTCACTATACGCTAACTAAACTAGTACCACTTTGCTATATCAAATGCTAAACTTGTTTAAACTAAACAGCAGTGCGGAAGACAAGATTTATACTATTCCGAGTGGAGCGATTCGGGGTTACCAATATTCTCAAGAAACTGCACAAGTCTCATTGAATTGATACGAAGAAATACTAACCATCCATTGATGATTTAGACTGTGAATTCAGAACTGGAAATAAAAGAGAACCAGGTTTCTTGGGAATCGCGTGTTTGAATGTTATGCGAACACGAATCTTCACCCACTACTTTTTAAGGGATATGATTGCCATCCAGTAAATATAAGCAAAATGACCCAAAAAAAACTAAATAAATACTCGTTTGATTTTGAAGAATAGTGAAAATCATTGTAGTATTTTCGTCTCTGAATACAAATGCGAAGGATGACAGGAACGTTTGCTTACGAAAACCAGAAATTCAAAGGAACTACTGAGACCGGTAAACAGAATTTTATGAAATTCCTCGTCCGGAGTAATATATTATTTCCATTATGATATTTGCATCAAACAAGTCTGAAAATGATAAAACCTCAGAAAAAAAATAAGACTCAGGTAGGTCTTCAAGATGGAAAACGATGAAACCAAGAATTCTCATTTACGTACTACGATAAAATGCAAAATACTTCGACCGACCAAGTGGGCCACAAAACGAAATGTGCGCGCAAAGTACAAAGCGGCCATTGGAACATACTGAGCCTAATTCAGATGAAAATGAACGTCAGACAACTGGACAGAACATCCAGATTACTAAGGGCTGTAGTGAATTTCCGGAATAGTACAACGGAGGAACTAGCTTCGTCCTCGGATGGAACCTGTGGAGAATTTTGAAAAGAATAAAAGAAAAAGTGAGCCAGTGACTCAGAAAGCATATAGCATGCCTTTCCATTTACCAATGGAAACAACCGATAAAAATCACTAGTAACACAAACGTAAGATCAATAAAATTCGATAAGTAAAACTAGAGATTTTGAGAGTAAGATTTTAAGTGTATCACCCAGCCCCCCCCCTTGATGAAAACCATTGTCCTTTATGCCTGCAGTATCTGGGTTTTCTAGGGCCAGGAACGTTGTATGAGGCTGATGAGTTACATGCGGTGGAGTAGACGTTGTGTGGTATAATAACCCTACAGATCACCCGGGTCCTGTTACTTAAGTACGCCTTTTCGCAGAAAAGCTCCGTGAGTGTTCCACAACCGTCTCACGTATATGTTGTAATACCTTCGGTTTACGTCTCGCAACTGCAGGAAACTTTCCATTGCCTCCGTAACAATGTTCACTGTCCAATATCCTTTGTGACGGGCCAGTATAAAGTAATTGATTACTCTGAGCTCACTTCTTGATGTCACCTAGTGTGGATATCCTATCCAACTAACCACACCAATCCAATTTGACAGTTGTTTAAAGTTCCATGTGTTTTGGATATAAATGAATGTGTTTGCCCCAGGCCATTGGGGTTACGAGGGCCAGCAGCCATCACGCTACAGGGTAGCCGACCGACCGGCTCTTTTGAGCCACCTTCGCGCCTTATTGCTCCACGTGGTTTGATATACTCCGCACAGGTGAGATACAGTTTCTTAAGAGGCTTTCAACGAACATGAAATCGATGAATGGGCTAGTATGCCTCCTTGTGATGCCTTACGCGTTGACGCTAACCGGTTCGAACACACACTATTACCTGTGGTGCAGAACTCTCGGACCGGTAGATAGTTTCTTAAACAGGAAAAGAATCGATTTATAAACTGTTGTCATATACAGTAGAACAGTGCGCGGCAGTATCAGAAATAGTTCATGCAAAGGTACTATCGACCACAAAAGCTTGTCCAACTGTCCCAAAATAACACATCATACTCAATGAAGGGGGTAATTTTTTCAATGGACTTTACTGTCGGGTCATTCTCCAGGTTTTTCAATAATTAATGCAATACCAGAAGTAGCGCCTCAGTTTTTCCATTGAAATTCTGATGAAACCTTTCGCTTTTCGCTATTCTGAAAGCTGCAATTTTTCGATGTGATGCGTAATCGGTAAACGAACCCACCAATTACAGCCTTAAGCTCTCAACACCATATTGGCTCTCTTTGACTTTGTATGACTACGCCTTGTTTATTCGCCAATCATGATCCTTCGTGCTTGTCATGTATGATAATGGAGTCTTCTGCCCAT